ATCGTCATACATCTCATCGACAAATGACGAAATGACGGTCAGTGATTCACTGTCCGAAAATGCAAAATTTGGGACGAAATATTTTTTCTAAATCTAATTCATCATGCAAGTGATGATATTTGATTTATTAAATCTAAGTTTACGGTATAAAAATGACAGAATGCATAGAAAATTAAATTTACTGAATTTAAGCTGAATTTATGAATAAATTTTCTTAATAAAATGATATCAAATTCCACCTTAGTATAAATTAAACGTAAAGATAAAGATATTCAAATGTGCATTTAAAGGATTTATGTGTGATGATAATAATAAAATAATGATAAATAAAAAGTGAGGGGCAGTGGGGTCGGATGACAGAGCACTTCTTCTAAAGCTTAAAATAATACCATGAGGGCTCACCTTCCAAAATAATAATAATAATAATAAAAGAATATTTAAACTCTCATAACGACATAAAAGATCAGTTTGGGGCAACTTATGTATTTCAGGATAAGCTGCTTATTCTGAAACGCAGCCTGTGAGTCAGCCGCAGGGGTCGACCCGCGGTCCGCGTTTAGTGTAAAATACAGTTTCTAATAATCTGACGAAACGCGCGAATCAAACCGTATAACAAAATTTTATAAGCTGCCACAAACGGACCCAAAGTCTCACCAACCTCCAGTCAAAATTAATGAAATAACCTCCAGTCAAAATTAATGAAATACTACTTACCGACTATGTTATGAATATATCTTCTTCAATTCCCATTATATTTCTATAATATTCATAAAAAAAATATTCTAAACAATTATCGTATAGATAATAAATTTTTAAAATTTATTATGAGAATTTTATTTTATTTTTATTTTTCGAGAAAACTTCAACAATATCTTACCTATAATTCATCATACATATTCCCAAGGTAATAAAAGATGTTCCATCCTAACGCTTTAAAAAGCTTCAGCTATTTGTTCGAAGAAATTTGAAATTCAATCTACAATAACAATGTATTTTGAAATTCGGCTCTTCATTCATTTTCTCAGTACATAAAATTTGTGAGATTTTGTCAGGGGGCCAATCTCTTTCATTCATGTTCAATATAAATATAATGGAGCAAGTTCTGCCACCTTTCTGTACATCTCGAAGCAACATAAAAGGAAGGGACTTTCAGTAGCAGATTATTATATACAAAATAAGCAGAAAAGGTTTAGATATCAGCGGAGGCTCTGTTTCTAGGAAAGGGAATGGTGTCCCTAATATCATCAAGGCCGGTTACAAACATAACTATTTCCTCCAACCCGACACTGAAACCTGAATGCTTCACGGTGCCATGCCGCCTCAGATCCAAATACCATTCATAATCTTCTTGAACCAACCCCAGATTTTTGGAAAAAATTTGCATACGTCAAAGGGTACGCAGAGATGCGTACATAATAGGGTACACGGGTGTTATATGGAAGTTATATGGGGGTTACAAGCGTGTTATAACTTCCTTGTAACTTTCGTGTAACTCAGCTGTAACCCGCGCTTTTATTTTATCCATTGAGATTACAAGGTTACAGCGGGGTTACACGGGAGGTTACAGTTTCTTTTGTGGTTTGGGCTTTCTCCTCCGATATCAATTTTGTTCTTAGAATTCGGTGAGCCATGCTTAATTCTAAAAAACAAGTTCTTATAGCTTGATTCTAGGAAGTTATTATGATGCTTTGTTGTCTTTATATGGAGTTTCAATGTATGGTTTGATTGGCTCTGAGCTTTTACCATCTTTTGTTTGGGATCATGTGAATCATGATCATTTCATATTGTACCGGTGAAACTTGATCTTGTAGTTTTCTATTGGAGTTTATGAAAGCTTATTTGTCATCTCACATCTCATTATGAGATATTGGTTTAATTTTAATATCTTCGATTTTGGTCCTTTGAATGGATTTGCTAAGCTGATACTAGGAGGAGAATGTCTTCAGAGCAAGGACCTACAGTGGTTCATCAAAAGTCGGGGCAACTAAAAATCATATTTGATCTTCTTCCATATGAGGTAAGTTCCACTCATCCATATTCGATCTGATGTGTTTAAATTTACTTCAATTTGTCTAGCATAGTTAGTCCCGTGCACTTGAGAGGTCTTCTCTACAGAGCATTGTAACTTATAATTTATTTTTATCAATTGAATATTATTTTAGAAATTTTAAACCATTAGTTTTGTTCTTGCAACTTGATTTTCTTGTAATCATATTATTTTAATCAATTGAATATGATTTGTTGTAATTATGTCATTGCATTTGTAAGTATTTTTTTTTATTTTTAATATATATATATATTTATATTTATATTTATTTATTTATTTATTTATTTATAAATGCAAAATAATTGTGAAGTATGATGTAAATCCCCTGTTTAAATAAGCACCGCAAATCTCCATGTTTAAAAACCTACATTTCTAAAATGTTCATATAAATGAGATATGGTGTTCATAATTCATAGAAAGACAAAATCTCAACCTTTTACCTTTCAGTAAGCTTATCAAGGCGCTCCTCCTTCTGGCTTCCCAGAACCAATTTTCCAGCCTGAGTGTGTTCCATACTATAAGGTGAGTGACTTGTGACATTAAGCTCAGCTCTGAGAAAATTAGCATATTATCTCACCTTCGGTGCAATAATATCGAAAGCAGAAACAGTTTTAAAATCATCTCTAATCCGCAAATAGAAGGGTTTTGAATCTTTTGGGTGGTCATATATGATGACTGGCAGACTATAAATCTCATCAGCCAGAATTCTGTCAATATTGCATAAGGTTTGGAATAACATTCTAAGAAATAAAGCACAAACATAGCACAGAAAGTTGTTTTCATGTTCTGTTGATAGATTTATGCCCCGCTCAACTTTCTCTTCAACCCTCTTTTTAGTTTCCATGTGAAAAAAGCAGAGTTCATCGGCTTTAATGATCAAATTATGATCAAAGAAGCCAATTGAGAAACGAAAATTGCAAAACTACCTTATTTAAAATTTCCACAGCTTGTGTGTAACTAAGTCTGGCAAAAGAGCTCGATCCCATAGATTTAACGCGGTCAATACACTTGTCGTCGACTCGCTGGTACATGAGTTGTATGTCATGTGGGCAATGCTCAATGATGGAATGACAAAGGTACCTCAAAAAATCCTCTGCACAGTTCATAGCATCCTGTAATTATTACTGCACAAAATTTTGTGAAAATTAATGATCTGTGGAGGAAAAAATGAGTTGGAGCTTCATTCTTCTGTTTAGATGGAAGGAAAAAAAGTGAATACTAAATGTTCATGCTGACAAATACAAAGAGGCAAAAAGATGACAAAACGTACTGAAGATTATATGCGCCATGCATCTCATATAGTGTTAAAACAATGAAAGCCTGAAATATGGTCAAACTAGTTTGCTACATTATATTGGTCTTTCCTAAATAACTAAAGGGAAATTTACATACATATCACACAATTCTCATGCATTTACATATCTAACACCCAAAGTTTGATCTTTACACTTATAACCCCTTGGCGTCATACACCTATGTAAGAAAGTGCATATTTCAATTTTAAAAAGATAGTGATAGTGGTATTTATTATATGATGATACATAAATTTGAGTGGTATGCATGTAAATATGAATGCTTAGGTGTTAGATATGTAAATACATAAGAATCATGTGGTAATGTATGCAAATGCACCATAACTACAACATAACAGTTCAAACAAGGAAGGCGCCACTTAGCAGCCTTTTGAAGCAAATTTTGCAAGTCATGCTAAAACAAAACGAATTAAAGCAAAATGAAAAGCAGCTTATGAAGAATTGGTGTTTAATTGTAATCCAAATATTGCATACCTCTAGCTCTGCAAAGGCAAGTTCAACTTCAACCTTCCACGATTCAGCCAAACTCTTCTCGGGCGGCGCATCCTCAGCTTGAAATGTTGGTCCCAAGGAATAGACACAGCTAAGGGAGCAGGCATAGCTTTCTAAGTGAAGCTGAGAAGAAGATGACAGATACACCTGACGACCAAAGAAATTTTCGGAAAAATCTTCCTTTTTGATCTTCGCAGAGGTTGAAGTCAGTCTATGTTCCAACTGATTAGCTAGTTCATTAGCCTTCTGAAGGTTTTGCAATGCAATAAGAAGGGCCTCTCTGTTGCTATTACTTCTCTTCAGCTCCTCAATTCTCTTGCCTTTTTCCTTAATAGCAGCTTTGATTGTTTCTAGGTTTTTGGCCTCTTGAGCACTAATTGGGTTTGAGAGATTTGCAACCTCAAGCAACACGCTATGGTTCTTTGAATTAGTAGCAGTAATGATGGGCATCTGCACGTTAAGGAAGCCATTGCTCTGGAAGAATTGATGAGTAGAATGCAATAGGGAGTTGCGAATTCGTGCAATTGAGGCTACCTGAGTTGTGAATTAAACAGAGAAAAAAAACACATTCTTTGGAGTAAAAAATATATATTATTAGAAAAGCAGGAAAATATTTTTCTGGCGATCATCATCATAACTTTAATAATCATCATGTGGGGTTGGTGAGTAGCATAATAAGTACATTTGAACAATCTAAAGTAGATCATATCTACCAAATTTGATGGTAAAGTGATTTAATTGCCTCTAATCAAATAACTTCATACTGAAAACTTCATCAAAGTACTAAATTAAGTCAAGCATGGCCTAATGAAAATCAGCAGAATCTTACAGCAACTGGTGGATTGCTACACCAAAAAGCGCATATGAAATAAGCAGAACACAAGGAAGCCATAGAATGATCACAACATAGATATTTGGAAAAGAAGTTAGCATTAATACAAAAGGTGATGAAAATATCAATGGCTAAACTTGTGTAAAGTGTAAACCAATGTTTTATCATCATCTACTCATAATCATTAGATAAACCAAAGTTTTATCATCATCTACTCATAATCATTAGCCTTACCCCAACTATTTAAGAGAAAATTTATAAATTAACATTCTAGTGTTGAGTTTTCATTTGTAAGACTATGTTTAAGCAGAAAACTCTGATTATAATTAAGAAAATAAAGATGATCATATGGAAAATACCTAATAGGATGACACCCAATATGCAAATAGAACCAAATTAGTTAGTAGTTTGTACTTCATAGTAATTAAATCTATAAAACTAGAAGGGCTCATTAGTGATTTAATGATGTTAGATCATGTGTGATGTCATCTAATGATTGGCTCAATATTCTAAAAGTTATTAAAGTATTGTGTAAATCATGGTGATAATAAGTAATAACCATCATCATTGAGTTTGCTTAGAGTCATTATAGCTTGAAAATGAAATCAAGATTAACTATTCAAGAGGCACAATAGTGCAAAGAAGATCCAAAGAGAATAACTTTGTGTGTGTGTTTAGTTGCCTGTGTGTTTGATAAAAAGAGAAGTTTACCAAAAATCTCAATAATAATGAGCAAAAACTAAAATGAATAATATTTCATTTATAATTATCCAAAATTAATTTTTGATATTATAAAAAATATTTTTAATATTTTATATTTAATTTTTCTTGACTTTCTATTTATTTAATTTAATATCAATTAAACATTTAGGTTTTAATTACATTATTATTGCAAATTTTTTTATAATCATAATCACTCATGTCTTTCACAAATTTATGTGATCCTAAGTTTCCCATCAATTTCATTAATTTTACTAATGTTGATTTATGTGATAATTAACTATTAAATAAATGGGTTCATTAAGATTAACAATTTCATCGGTGAATAAATGTGAGCATGATTTTTATTCTATTAGTTGAGTTACATACATACAATCTGATATATAGTATCATATATCATCAACTTAATAGTTGAGCAGCTAATTTAACTCATGGTTAGGTGCTTTGTCTCCAACCACAATGCCTTGAGTTCAAAGTTTCGCACACACCAATGTGTGCATGAGTTAAAAAAAAAACACCAACTTAATAGCTAATCATTAACTACTTAGCGAGTATTGATACGATGTAAATCTATATGATTTGTATGCATAATTTCCATGCCTTATTTCCCTTTTATAATGATTTTACGCTACAGAAATGTATTTTTGTTGTACTTTATAGGAGACGGGTGTGGAACGCAATTTGGGGAGTGAAAGGAGTCAATCAGGTCAAGTAACTATGACAACCCTGTGCTGGAAGCAGCGTGCCAGTGTCAGGTGCCCAAGAGCACGACAAGCTTGCACCCAGAGACCATGTGCCTGTGCCTAGACACGGCACGCCTGGCCAATATACCGTACTCATGTGCAACTCCAGCCAACTTTTAACTAAGGCACGCCCACGCCACTTCCCAGCCTACCCGCACTTCAGCCAACAGTTTGATGAATTTTCCATGATTTCTTGCTATTTTAGTGCCCTAAGTATATATAGGAAGATAAAGAAGACTTAAGGGGGGTCTTGGACAAGTGTGGAGGCTTTCTTCAAAAGCTTTCGGGTTTCTCTTCCTCCTTGCAGAGGGAGAAACTCCTAGGGTTAGTTTACGTCAAGTTTTAAGAGGTTTTTGTATGAAAGAAAGAGATTGAGGGTTGTTTATGAAAAGGATGGTGGCGAGAGTTGTCATTGTACGGTGAGGATTCAATGGATTGCGGAGAACATTTGGCTTGCTTGTAAATTTGTGCATTTCTTTCATTTGAATCACCAATATGTTTAATAAAAGTCTTATTGCTTTGCTACTGCATGTCTCGTAGCTAATCTACTTTCATGCTCCGGTGAAGTAAGGATAGTTTTTCTTAATGTTTACCATGATTTTTCCCTATATGTGTTTTCTGTGCTTTTGAATTATGCATATTGATGCGTTAACTTTTCGATCGTCATTTACTTCTAATCTGATCAATTAGGTTGCTAAGACTTCTTGTAATCTAGGATTTTTAACTTTCGCCTAGAAAAACAAATAGGTTAACACATGATAGCCTAGTCAAATAGATATATTACGAGTAGAAAATTGTAACTCGTATAGGGAATCGAAGGAATCCTGGGAAACGTTGCAAGATTAAGTCTCTCTTAATTGTAACATGATTTCAAACTCTTCTTATGACCTAAACTTAGGCTAATGAGGGTTGTGTCCCTAATTTGTCAGCTATCACATAGAGAAAGTCATAAGAAAAAATAGAGAAAATATTATACTGGTGTCAAAGAAGCATAAGTTTTATCACCTCTGAAAGACTCAAAGTTGTGACCTGCTATTTCTGTTTATTGCTTCTTTTAGGACGGTAGATTTCCATTCATGCATTTTCATCCCTTCAAACTATATTCAGCGGTTTAATAAACTAGAACTTCCCGTGTTAGAAACATTTTGACACATTTCCCAAGGATTCATAAGCACACTGGTTTAGTTGTATATTACTTGATCGACTAGTACACTTGCATGATTGACCGACCTGCCTCATAGCATATTTCGGGCATCAAGTATCCACTAAGATATTTTTGGTATATAATGACTATACTTCAAGTTTTTATTGTTGGGTATTTTTTCAATTGGTGAGGATACTTCTAGTTTTTATTGTTGGGTATTTTTTCAATTGGTGAGGTAAGTTTTAAGTTGTTTTATAATGTGTAATATCTATAATGTTCTCCTACATATAGCATACTCACAAAATATTAAAAAATAATAATTTCACTCATAATTATTTAGAAAGTTATTTAGAGTGTTCATCATCTAAGAATTTTACGAGTAACACTTTCTCGCTTAGTTTGTCTGTATGAATTCCATGGTGCTATGTTGACATCATTGTACAAAAAATAGCATTGACCTTGTAGTGTTAGTGATAGCCTTACCACCAAAGTCCTGAAGGAATAAAGTGTGACAATTTCTCCATTACGTTGTGGGTGAAAGATTGATTAATAGTGAAAGCTACTTGAGGGATGCTTAGGCATGGATGTAGCCAGGTTTGCTCAAACCAAATAAATATCCTTATCACATTTGCTCTCCAACTAGTTTTACATTATGTACATCATTTCTAATTTACTCATGTGATGTTTTGGATTAAAATATGACCACATGTTAATATCGCAGGGTTATCTTCATAATGAGTTTTATATTATCTTGCGCTGAACTAGCTCTGAGACATTACCTTTAGGATCACATTTTATATAATCAAATATCAAGTAGATCTTCCTTTACAATGTGGTAAATTAATAATTATTTTTTTTATCCTTACATGATGGAATAAATGTTTTACTTGCGCTCCAAATTGTTCATCACACTTGGTCATAACATTATAGCTATCTTTATCATCATTTGTCTATTTTGCGGAAACTTATTTAAGTTGCTTGGAGGTTTTTTATTGTAAAATACTTACAGCTAATGTAAATGAGTACAATTGTGCTTACATAATTACATAATTTACATAGTTCACGTTTATGTCTACACCAGTGCATTTTGTTAGTACATGTGCATTTAGTTTGGCTTAATTATATTTTGTTGTGCACAGTATATATTGGTTTACAGTTTCATGGCGTGCTTTAAATCTCTCATGCACATTGAGTAGAATTAGAATGGTTGAATTTCATGCAAAAACACACGCAAGGAAATATTACGATCAAACATGGAAATTTGTTAATCATTCCAAAACTTATCAGTAGCATGATATGAATAAATAAGCACAATCTAAGTAGAATATGAATCCAATATTTAGAAAATTTTACAACCTTCTAAAAAACTGAAATAGGGAACGACTTTACTAATTATATAAAAAAGATGATGATAGACTGGTGACATATTTTGTGATACATCCAAAGAAAAAAAAATATAGCAGTGCAAGAGTAAGGGAAGGTACAATTTCTGACGCTAGCAAGATCACTAAGCGATAATGAGTCCACATTTTCGTTTAATACAATGGATATGAAACAATTAACCAAAACATGATAAAGGGATTCAGAAATAATTTTGTTTTGAGAAAAAAATTTGATAAATGTCAGACGTGGAGATTTTGTTTTTTGGCCCATAGTATGTCCAAACATACATGTACCACCTCCCTTCATTGCTGATGAAACAAAAAGTGAATTTGAACTACTGCTATCATCTTTGTCCCACCAGGTGCTTTACAAACAAAAAAAAGGTGCAGCTTTTTGGTAAATAATCCAATAAAACTTATTGCCGATCAACCAAAAAGAGAGTAAGAATCAACTAATCATATTCTCATCATCAACATACTGAACCAAAAAATGAAAGGAATGCCAGCTTGGGAAGATACAGAAATTTAAGTTACCATAGATGTTCTTGGACGAAGGTGTGGATGAGCCCTTAAGATTGCCATTGACAACCGTCCTTTTGACAAGGGATACTAGTCAAAACCAACACCACCAACATATAAAACTTTGTCCACTTCAAGTTCCACTGCATACTTTCCTGGCAACTTCGATCTGGCTAGCACTCCTACTAGAATTGAGATGCCAACAGGCAATATTTCGGATAGAGGATGTACAGAGGAATCAACCACTACCTGCAAGTAAGAAAACAAGTGCAGTCAGTCAGTCGGTCAGTCAGCAAGACATAAATCACTTTAAAAGCCATAATTTTTAGAAATAACATAAGATTCTTTGAAATTAACAACATGCTATCTGTGATTAAGTCCAAACTTTATTGTGCGATTAATTAGCTTGGATTACTAACTTTTACTCTGCTTTCCTAATCTGAAAAGAGAGACCCCCGCAGTAAAGAGTATAAAAACCAGTTCTTGTGTAGGAAAGGAATTTTTTATATCAACCACTCAAAATTTTAAATACAACAGATTGGCCACCCAAATTTCAATTTTTACATTTTAACAACCAAAAATAGGGGAAAATTTTCTGTCCAGACTCCGGACATAACACTACATGTGTACTCCCAGAAATATGCCGTCACATGTGTTATATCGTGACCACCTAAAAAAATATTAAAGTAGAACCGTGGAAGTTATTGGAGTGGAATTTTATTGGAGTGGAATTTGAGAGTTTATTGAAGGGTTGTTGAGAGGTTATTGAGGGGTTATTGGGAGATTACCAATAACCTCCGCGGTTTCACTTCAATAACCCCCGGCAATAACCCTCTCAATAATCACCCAATAACCACTCAATAACCCCCAAATAGACTCTCAATAACCTCTATGATTCCACTTCAATAACTCTCTGTAGTTCTGCTTCAATAACTCCCTACAATAACCCCCGCAATAAACCCCAATAAACTACTCGGTTCCATTTCAATAACCCTCCTACAATAACCCCCTAATAATCCCACAATAACCCCCGCAATAGCCACCCAATAACCTTCGCGGTTCCACTTAAATAATCCTTCATAATAACACCCTAATAACCTCTGAGGATTCACTTCAATAACCACCAATAATCTCTGCGATATAGCACACGTGGCTGCATATTACTGGAATCCGCACGTAGAGCTATATCCGAAGTCCAGAAAGAAAATTTTACTCAAAAATAGTGTTGTAAATTTAGCTCAAAAATTGTTAATCGCTCAAAAATTGATTCAAAATTTTGGCTCGGATCGCTTGAATCAAAATAAATGAGCCAAGCTATGACTCAATTTTGGATCGAATTTTATTCGAACCAAACCCAACTCGAGTCGAAATCTAATCATTTACATCCACAGTGATGTTAAGGCTGTAAATTTAACAAATTTACCCTGAATATCTTTAATCACTCGAAAATTGATTCGAATTTTAGCTTTGATCGAGATAGAATCAAAATAAATAAATCGAGCTACGAGTCAAAAATTTTTATGAGCCGACCCAACTGGCTCAAAATCAAATCATTAAAAGCTTTACCTAAAAATCACCCAAAACTTTAAATATAAAGGTTTGACCAGTTTCAAAAGGAAATAAAATATTAGGTTGTTGAAATATAAATTTTAAGTTTAGATTGTGTTATATTTAAAATTTTGGGTGGTTGGTAGGTAAAAACCCTACACAAATTTTATGAAAACTGCAAAACAAAATACAGCAGATAATAGCGAAATTTGTTCTAAAGCAAATAAGCCGAACCTCGAGACTAGCAGGGCAAGACCCATCACTGATCCTCAAGTAGCCAACGGTTGGCACAGGCTTCCCTGGACAGTCCAGCTTCCTGAGAAAATGCGCGCTGTATCCTCCGCCAGTGAGAATCCTCGCAATCGATCGGAGAATGGGGAGCCAGGAAACCAGAACTTCGGAGCAAGCCACGTCCTTCACGACTGAAGGGGCCGCAGCCACAGGCGACGTCGACGATGGAACACTCGGCTTCTGTTTATCCACGCCAGATTTCACCCATCCCCCAACCTGAACTCTCTGCCCGGCCAACCCTTTGCCTCCATCGTCCCGACCCAAAATCGATCGGAGCAAAATCCTAGTGGAGTATTTGAACCGTTCAACAGACGGCGGCTGCGGTGACGGCGGTGGAATGGATTCATTGGTGGCGGATTGGATACGTTCGGATGCCATTGATGGGAATAGGGTATGGGAGCATGGAAAAGAAGATGGTGGGAGGGTAAGAAATTTAACAAGGGAAATGGGTGCTTTGGAGACATACGGAGAGGAGAGTAATGCTTTGCTTTTAAAAATATATTCTGAGCGGGAAGCGAAGCGATTCAATTCTCTCTTGGCGATGAATGCTGGCTGCTGAAGGAGGGAAGGAAGGGATATGGCAACGTTGAATCGGTGATAGAAGGAAAGAGGAACTTTAAAACTAGCCGACTTAAAAAAGGATTTAAATTCATCCCACGATATCTTCATATATTTATATATCTAACTTTTAAAGTTTGTTGCTATGCACCCAAAAAATGATTTGCAAGAATCTCGAGCTAATCTAATTGAAGAACTATCAGCCGAACAAAAATCTTCATATATTTATATATCTAACTTTTAAAGTTAGTTCCTGTGCACCCAAAAAATGATTTTCAAGAATCTAGAGCTAATCTAATTGAAGAACTATCAGCCGAACAAAGGGCTCACGACCGACCAAATGCCAGTCACCACCAAAGAATTACTTGGGTCAACAAGAAACAGACGTTCACTCCAACAACCGAGCAAAGATCTATTATACCCAACAATTACACGAGTATCAATGTGAGGCTCTCAAAAACTCTCAACAAATATATCCGCGACGGACTCCTCACTCTCATGATACAACATTTTCTTTGGAAACACCACCTTTGGATCTGTTCAAAACTTGATCCACTTCTAGAAGACAAAGCAAGTAATAAATGATCTTGGCAAGGTGATGCTAACTATGCTCTCGCCCGTTCTTCAAAAGATTCCTCCTCAGCACCGCCCTCTTCGGGGTAGCCGGATGGCTCCACAACTTCTCATCTATCTAAAGGAGTTGTATCAAGGAGATATGTATCAAAGTAAGCATGAGCCGAATGCTTTCTTGCAATGATGGTCAGTTCACTAGTTGAAATTTGTTGGATCACAATTGTGGTTACAAAAATATAGAAAAGAAAATCCTCACCTACAGAGTCGACCAAATTCACCACAGGCCTTAGTTGACCTCACTTCGGTTGTTGTCACTTCTTGCCTAGAGGCTCCTTTTACCTTGGCCTCAGCCTTAGCCTCAATATTGGCCTTCTTCCTGGTAGTTCGAGCAGAGACTTCTTTCTCTAACTCAAGTCAGAGGCAACCCATAAGT